GCTCCGGCGCGCACACGCGGCGTGCGGGTCGGGCCCGGCGGCGCGGCCGCGTCTACGGGGCCCCCGGAAACGCTGCCCGCGTGGGATGGGCAGGAGGGGCGACCGGTCCCTGCCCTCTCGATTCCCCGCTCCCTGAGTCCCCGAGCGGTCGGGATGCGGCCGCCCCCCCCTTTTGTTCGGGTAACGGCCAGGGCGGGGTGGCGCAGCGGCCCGGACGGACAGTCGGGCGGCCGGAAGGAGGACGCCCCAGGCCTGGGCCGAGCTGGGCCTGCGCCGTCCCCACCTAGGGTGCCGCAGGGTTGGGATGAGGGGTCCCGGGGCCCGAGGGCGCAGCCGCCGCGAGCGTGTGGATCTGAGGGTCTGCGTGCCGGTGTGTTCACGTACATGTGCATTTGTATTTACGTACGCGCCGCGCTACGTGTGGGCATGTTGGCGTGTGTGTCAACACGCAGTGCACCCGGGCCGCGGGTGCGGCGTGTGTGTGTTCCGAGTACACACACGTCGCCGTTCTGCAGATGGTGCCCACGAGTTTACACAGACGAGTGTAACGGTGGTGTGTTGGAGCCCCACACTACAGCTCCGGCTGTGCATCTGTGTACTCCGCTCCAGAGCCGTGTCCGGGTTCCCTCCTCGTGCTGGCAGGGGACTTTTCCCGCACGGTGCACGAAGTGGTGTACACGGTTCAGTAGCTTTCAGCCAGCTGGGCAGGAGGTGGGGCTGCCCCAGTCTGGCCCCCACTCTCCAGGCCTCCCTGACCCGTAGAGCTCTAGTACCCACGGCTTGTGCTGCCAAGAGGCCACCTGGCTTCCCTAACTCAACTGGCCCCGTAAATAACTCAGGCTGGTATCCAGGGATGAGGCCAGAGCTCCTTGAGCCCCACCCCTCACAGGTGTAAGGTCACAGCCCCAGCTGGTCTGTAGTGTCTTTGCGCAGCGGGGGCCCAGAAGCTGGGTTTACCGGTGGGGAGCCATCCCAGGGAAAGTGTTTGTGCCTGCAGGAGGTACCGGGAGCCAGGGCACTCTGGGGCTCAGCTTCCTGGGGGGTGGGATGGAGATCGCCAGTTGGGACAGCCTGGAGGAGGCAGTGGCCTGTCCACTCAGAGGAATCCTTGTATTCTTTTCTACCAGAGATCTTAGCGGAGACCAGCGGCCCTGTGTGGTCCTCCCACCTCAAGATGGGAGGCTGCTCTGTCTCTCTGGGCAGTCCCTTTCTCCTCTGGCCTCAGTTTCCTCCTCTGTACCTTGGGGGTGTGAGTGGACCTCTAAGGAGTGAATGGCCAGCTCCAGCCCCGCCATCCCCCAGGCTGGCAGCCCCACCCTGCAGGAAGCTCCCTAATCAGCCAGTTTGTCTCAAGGGCTGGATGTGGCAAAACTTGCAAAACCACATTCATGGCAGTTTGCTTGAGTCCCACATCTGCAGACATGGCCTCCCTGCCTGGGGCCGGGCAGGCAGGTGTCTGGTGGGAAGCGGCACTCTCAGCCCAGCCCACAGAGCCTGGCACCAGCCAGGCCATCGCTCAGGTAGCACAGGTTGGTGTCCTTGGTCCCAGGAACTGAAAATGTAGAGTTGAGGTTTGACATGCCTGGGGAAAAACTCTGTCCCCAGGAGGGGCAGGAACAGCCTGCAGACTTGGGGGCTCTGGTGGCCCCCGGGGTGGGAATCCTGTGCCCTGGGCTCCCTGAGTCTCAGTTTTGCCATCTGTAAAATGGAGGATACTAGGGAGGCTCACTTAAGGTGAAAATGGGTTATGAACCCCGAAACCTTAGGTCCCTGCGTGGGAGAGAGTGAGGGGTTCATGGAACCCTGTTGTCCATGCCCTCCCCCGCTGGCTGGCAGCATACAAGGGCTGAGGACTAACCCAGCCAAAGGCCCTGTTTTGGGGTCATATTCTCTGTGATTCAGGTGTTAATGGGGACGGAAGGCTGCAGGGGGAGTGGACCTGTGTGCTTTAAAGGGTGGGGCTTTAAGACTGCAGGAGAAGGGCAGGCTCTTCTCACTGGACTCCTCACTCAAGGTGGCCTTTGGAGCTGCTGTTGGGGAAGGAATGGTTTGGGTGTGTCCCTTGGGGCCCCTGGGGGGAATCATGAGGAGGTGCTTAGAGACCAGCACTCCGTTTCCCCCCCCAGCTCCCAGATCCCTCTCTGGGGACACTGGCGTAGGACTTCTCCAGCAGGAAATTCCCAGAATAATTCATTTGAATTTAGTTTAATAAAATAACAAAGCCCCCGGGGCAAGCCCTGGGAGCCAGGCAGGGTTTCTGGGTGTGTTGGGGATGGGGGAGGGGATCAGGCAGCTCAGCGCAGGGCTGTGGTGGTGGGGGAGCCTAAGGGGGTGGCGATGGAGGACAGAGCAGCCGGGGCAGCTGGGGCTGGGCCTGGGACTTGGCAGGGCCTGGTGGACCCTTCACACACTTGACAGGCTCCCTCACTCAGCACTTTCGCAAGAGCAGCCGGTTCTCTTATTTTCCTTGATGCCGCTCCTGCAGGGCCAGAGCCAGGACATACCACATGCCAGCCCCTCCCTGGAGCCCCCTCCCCCAGTCTCCCAGGACCTCGAATGAACTGGTCTTGGCCCCTTCCCATTCTCCTCCTGATAGTCATGGGTGCAAACCCCACCTCTGTCATCCTCTTGCTCCACCATCTTGAGAACATTCCATGGGAGTCTCAGGTGAGCTGGGCAGTGAGTGCAAAACCCAGGCCATTCTACTTAATTCCGGCTTTCCCAGCTGGAATGTGGATCGTAGGAGGTCACTGCAGGGAGGGGAAACTGGAAGGCACCTACTCCAGTCTTCTTGTGGTGCAGATGGAGAAACTGAGGCCCAGACCAGGGTAGGGTCCCTTAGTCAGCCAAGGAGAGGGGCAGGCAGATCACAGATCTGACACCTGGGGGCCTTTGCCATCCCCTGGCTCATAGATGGGGAAACTGAGGCTCAGAGAGGAGTGGAGACTTGCCACCCATGGAGTTGGTGACATTTGGGCTAGAATCTTCTAAACCAAAAGCTGAAGTCTTTTGGAGGCCTTTTCCTGTGAGATGGGCGAGGGTACTGCCTGCTCCCCCATCATGGTGACAACACCAGGTATGTGTGAGCCGGGGACATCTGGCAGCCAGGTGGCAGGCAGCATCATGAGGGTCTTCACCACTCACCATATTTGCCCGGGGGGTCCACAGCACCTCCTTGAGTGATGGCAAGGGTCAAGTGACAGGCACGCTGCCCTGACTTGCCTCTCCCACTCGGTAGCAAGGCCCGGGGCCACACCAGGCCCCAGAGAGCCTGGGAGGCAGGGCAGCTGCAAGCCACAGGGGTCCTGAGGGTAAGCATGGGCCTTTCTTCCCGCAGACGGCCCTCAGCGCCTTTTTCCAGGAGACCAACATCCCATACAGCCACCACCACCACCAGATGGTAAGTATCCCCTGCAGTGCCAGGGGCAGCCGGATGGGGGCTCCCGGTTCAGGGCAGAGGAAGCAGCCCTGGCGGAGGAAGCTGCAGTGGCTTTCAGCTGTGGAGGGGCCTCTGGCTCACGCTGGGATGGGACCTCCTTGGAGGCAGCCAGTGGGTGTGGCGGGCCAGCCCATCTCGGGCACCATGCCTTTCCTCTGTGAGCCCCTGGCTGGTGGACCATCTTGTGGGGTCAGGGTGCATCTGGGGAAGGAGCACAAAAGCTCCCGATAGTGGCGGGGCACAGGTCTCCTAGGAGGCAGTGGAGGCTGGGGGCCCTCCCTGAAAGGGGTGCTCACCCCCACCTCTGTTCTTCCCCCTGCAGATGTGCACTCCCGCCAACACCCCCGCCACGCCCCCCAACTTCCCCGACGCCCTCACCATGTTCTCCCGTCTCAAGGCCTCCGAGAGCTTCCACGGTGGCGGCAGCGGCAGCCCGATGGCCGCCACGGCCACGTCGCCCCCACTGCACTTCCCCCACGCCGCCACCGGCAGCTTTGCGTCGCCCAGCTGGCCAACCGCGGCCTCGCCCCCAGGGGGGCCACAGCACCACCAGCCACAGCAGCCACCCCTGTGGACTCCGGCACCCCCTTCCCCGGTGTCAGACTGGCCGCCCCTGGCCCCCCAACAGGCCACCTCAGAACCCAGGGCCCACCCCGCCATGGAGGCCGAGAGATAAGGGAGGCCCCTCCCCCCTCCCGGAGGCCAGGACCCCGTGGGGCGGGGGAGAGGATGTCTCCGCAGGCCCCCTTCACCCTCCTCTGTCTGCACCCCCGATCCCCGGAACCCTGGAGGGGAGAGACCGGACCCTCGTGCCAGCACACAGGCTGCCCGTGCGCGTACACAGAAGCGCAGGCACGCAGCACCCAGCTTGCATGGATTTGGTTGAGTCGTCTGGGTGCTGGTGGACAGAACTTCAGAGACCAAGCAGCTTTCCCCAGAGGACTCACCTGCCCCACCCCACCCAGGGGGCTGCGGAGAATCGCCACCGCTGCGGAGACTCGGCTGGCTCCTGCCTTGGAGCTCCTTGGGGGCCAGCAGGCCTAGATCCCCACCCTCGGGAATGCAGAGCCTTCTCCGCATGTGTGCGTGTAGCTGTGTCTGTATTTATATGTATGTCGCTCTTCAAGAAGCAACCTAGTTTATGGGCAGCTGGACTTTGCATGTTAGAGTGAGCCCCCAGCCCCTTGCCCGCCACCCCTCTCCCCAGGGCCCTGCCCTCTCCCCTACCCCTCGCCAGCCAGCCTTGCTGTTCCCTGCAGAGATGAGAATTGTGGGAAACTCCAGGACTCTTCCAACCCATCCCCCAGCGCTTGCCTGCTGGGGCTGCCTGCATGCCTCCCCCAGAGCCCGGGGCTACCCCATACCCATTTCCTTTCCCCTTTGAACAAAGGAGAAGAAAGAGTTCCAAACCACCACCAGGCTCTCTGGTCTTGCCTCGTATCCTAAGCTTTGCTGCCAGCTGGCTCCATGTGGAAGGGAAGGGCACCAATGGAGCCCAGGACAGAGGGCCACCCCCATCCCCCATGCTGCCCGGCTCCACACTGCTCCTGTCTGTCGCTGTCTTCAACCACAACATGCTCTGGAATCTTCCTGCCCACCCGAGGCTTTTCCCATGAAGTTAGTTTCTGGCCTGTGTTCCCAGAATCACAGCCTCCACCTGCCCACCCTTCCCCCTGCCCGGCTGGATGAATCCGATCTCCAGGGCTAACAGCTGCCTTCCGGGTCTGCCTGGGTTTCACATAAGGACCTTTCTTCCTGTCTCAGGGCCCCAGTGGCTGACAGCGGGCTGGACCCTCCCAGCCCAACCTCCAGCAAACATGCCGGGTGGGGCAGTGCCCTCCCCTGGGGAGGTGCAGGCCACAGCACCTGTAGTTAGATAGCAGGCTTCGGTGCAGAGCCTGTGGGGGCTAGCAACAGGGATAGCAGGAGGCCAGGGCAGAGTCCAGCCTGCGGCTTAAGCCTTTAGTCACTAAGGAGACTGGCCACCCAGGGGCAATAGACTGGACCCCGGGCTCTCCTGAGCAGGGCTGGGGCAAACACCTGCTCTAGCCCCAAGGGAGAAGCCAGGGGCGCCCCCTTGGCCCCTGGGCTGCCCACGCTGGGGGGAGGGGTCCCTGGGGCAGCTTTGGGAGAAGGCAGCCTCGGCCCTGCGCCCATTGTGAGGGGCCTTGACGGCGCAGGGGGAGGCCAGGGCCTCTGTAGCGACCCTCGGGCTCCGCCTGCAGCTGCTCACCGGCAGACCTCACTCGATAACCTGGCAGCGCACCCACCCAGTGCCCAGCCCTCTGCGGATGGCACTTGGGTTGGAGAGTTTCTTCTATTTGGAAGGTCTCTTGCTTGACTGGCATCTCAGCACTTGCCATCCACAGTCCTGCTCTTGCTCCCAGGGATGGCGTTGTGCTTTCTTACAAGGATGCCCCGGTGTTGCAGTGCCCTACCCAGCTTCATCTCCCTGTTGGAACCTGGACAGGCTCTGTTGACGAGGCCCTCCTGGAACAACTGTTTACTCTCTGGTTGTCACTGAAGACTGACCACTGGGCCCCTGCTCAAGCTGTTGCTTATGTCCCAGACACATGTCCTCACCTTGAAACCCACCCTTCTGATGGTCTCTTGGAGTCCAGAGGGGGTGAGGCTCTGCCTGGGGCGCATGTGGGGAGGGGAGGGAGGGAAGGGGCAGGATAAGGGTGAGGATATCTCCGGCCTCCGGAATCTTCACTGCAGCTTCTCCATTCTTTTGGGTGGAAGAAAATGCTCAGGAAACCCACACCGCCCTTCAAGCGGTAGGAAAAATGCTTTGCAGAGCCAAGTGTTTCTGGGTTATCTGCTGTGTGGGGATGAGTGTGCCTGAGCTCTCCCAGTGGGCAGATTACTGAGGTGGCCACACGTGTCAGAGACATCATCTACAATTTGCACTCCTGGAGGCAACGGGAAGGTCGACCCCGGGCAGGCCCCTGGGTGGCCTGTAAATGAACCATACCCTTGCTACTCAAAGTGTGGTCCCCAGACCA